TTAATCCTACTCACAATTTCCCAATTCCCGTGGCCAGTCCGCTGCCAATGGGCATAGGCTCGATGTTAGGGTATCATAATTATTTTATTAATGTAGTAATAGTTTTTTAATTGAACCACTGCAGAAATATATAAAAACACAAAGTGCTGCTGGCTGTGGGCGAGTATTTAATTGATTGTCATGTGCTTGCACAATAACAATATCTGTCGATGTATCTGCGAGTCGATATGGCTAAGAGTTTATTGGAGCTGCTCTGCTTACGCAATGGCCAGCAGGGCAGGTGCCACAGGCTGACGTCACTTGTGTGTGTGTGTGTGTGTGTGTGTGCGGAGCACTTGAGCACTTTATCTAGCTGCAATTTGCTGTTCACTTGGACTTGGCCAACAGTCGCTTTAAAGTCAGTGCCAAGCAATGAAAATTGCAACGTGTTTTGGCATTAGACGTGAAAGTGCGAGTTACACTCGACAAACGGCGACAGGCGTGGGCGCTGATCAAGGGGCAGCAGCAGAGGGTAGGGGGAGGGGCAGTTGCTGGCGTACCAGCCCACATGAACGCCAGTCACTGGGATTTTTATGGCACGTAATTTGCAATTGGCAAAAGCAAAGTGGCCAACAGACAAAGACATAGACGAAGACAACGACGACGACGGCGATCACAATTTGCTTTGGCAACTTTTCACTTTTCATTTTGCGCTTTTCCAAAGAAGTGCTTAGCTCTATGAGTGTGTGTTGGCCTCTTGGCCTATTAAGTCCATAGCTGTGAGGGTTCTACTGGCTTGGCAGCTGGCCAAATTGCGTATTGGCCAGTTGGTAAAACCCCGAACAGCGACCCATTTAGCTGCACATTGCGCATACGCAGCGTGGTGAATCAAAAAAGTCTCAGCAAACCAATATATATATTCATCTTGATATATATATATATATGTAATTTAGGCATGACTAAGACAAACTTTTGCAGAAATGTAACAGACGTCACGTGAGTCGTTGTTAAACTATGCGAAATGAACAGAAAAACATCTGTCAATAACAACATTTGCAAATTAGGAGAAACTTTTGCTACCAGACCATATTTTTAGCTATTTTGTTTTTGAGGAATCGCGAGATGAAACCGAAACTGAAACTGAAATTGAAACTAAAGAAAACATATGTATGTGCGCCTGCCTCTCTATAGATATATATATAACAAAAGGCACTTGTCTGGGTGAAATTTTCACCAGTTATTCAAATGAACGGCAACAACAGTTGCTGCTGTTGCTGCTGCTGCTGCTGCTGCTGCTGGCTAAGCAAACAAAACAGTCAACAAAAAACGGAAACCGTTAAAGCCAAATAACAACAACAACTTGGCCACAACAAACGCTAGTTTTTTTTTTTCAAATCGCTTTCAAATTGTACAAGTTGTTGCTGTTGTTGCTGCTGCTGCTGCGGCGCCTCGTCCCGCTGCCTTTGTTAATGAGGCATGCGTCGTTTGTTTTTACCCCCCTTGCTGCCCACTCGAAAGCCGAAGATCAATGGATATTTGCTGGCCAAGCCAAGACCAGGTTGATACCAAAACTCAAAAGTTGTTGCTGTTGTTGTTGACCACTTTCGTTGTTACTGTTGTTGATTTTGGAGTCGAGCTTTGAGCGATTTTTCATTGGAATAGAAAGTGAATTGAATTTGTTTTCAGCTGTTGCTGCTGTCGCCGCTGTTGTTGTTGCTGTTCCATTGCTCTTGAGCCGCAGTCGTCTTCATTTGTTTAGCTTACAATGAAAACAACATTAGTTGTCGAAAAATTGGACCATGTCATTGACCTTTGCCTGCCCAGAGCAGTGAGAGTGTTTTCTGTTTATATTTTGACTCATTTTGAATTGTGGTACTTTCTTGTGGTACTTTTTTGGTATTTTTTATGGTACTTTTTTGCTTGGGGTATGGTGGACAAATATTGAAGCGCGCAGCTTTTGGCTTTGTAGCTAACGGATTTGTCTCGAATGCAAGTGGAAATGGTGAGAAATGAAAAATGACTGGAAAGTTGAAAGTGGAAATTTGTAAGCATTCGGTACTAATATAAGTTATAAGTGACTATAAATATATTCGAATAAAGTGAGCAAAAAAATATAATAATATATATAAAATAAAAAAAAAAATATATATATATATATATATAAATTGTATATAAATTCTTTAATATATAATATATTTATAAAAAAAAACAACATTTTAAAAATTATTTTATTTTTATTTCTTAATGTCTTAATACAGCTAGAAAAGTATAATATTTAATGTATATATATATATATATATATATATATTTAGCTATAAATAATTCACATATATTTTCGTATCTGTAGCCCATTTACAATTAAAATACTCCCACCCATTGGGATTATCTCACTAAACATAGCTAAAGTCTACATCCTATTGGCATTTTTGCTCTACTCAAAATTGGATCAACTGCGATTTCTTTTACAAAATGTGTAAATTAAATATAAATGCTAGTGGCAAGTGGCAAACTAGCAAACGACAACAACTACAAACAAAACTTCCAGTTAGTCCGTGGAGTTTGTTCACCTTTCGCCTAATTATCAAAATACATAAACGAAAATAAAATACATACATATACAAATATACAGAAGACAAAAAAAATAAAATAAAATACAAATTGTGCTACAAGACGCGTGCAAAGGCAGCGCTGACTGCGTCGCAGCGTCGACAACTTCAATGAAATCAATTTTACGATAATATTTTTTGAAAGCACAACAACAACAGGAGTAGCAGCAGCAGCAGCAACAGCAACAACAACAGCAACAGCAGCGGCAAATGTGTAGCTCAACCGCTTCATAAACATTGAATCAGCGCCAGGCCTCAGCGCGGTACCGTTGGAAATTTCTTGCTTTTTCTTTTCTCATACATACCGACATACACATAAATACATAAATATATATATACATATGTATATATAAAATTTGTATTTGTATGCGTGTATTTTTTTCGTTGTTATTGTCTTGCAAAAATGTAGGTCAAGTTATATGGTGAGTATCTCTCTCTCACTCTGCGTGTGTGTGTGTGCGAGAGTGTGGGACGCTGACAGTTTGGTACAGACAATTCCAGAGTCGGTCAGTTAGTCAGCTGGGTTGGAAGGGTATTGGGAGAGGAGGAGCGGAGCAGTTGCGGTAGGCGGACTGCGCAGACTTTTCTAGTCGCTGCATCCCAAGCCAACTTTCACTTAGAAAGTTCTGCTTGCGGTTATGGCCGTTGTTTATGTTGATTTTTCGGCTGCTTTTGAGGGTGCCATAAATGACAAGTTAATATGCTTGTGGCTGTTAACTGGGTCAAGACGTGGGCCTGGGAAGCTTGTAACCCAATGATCACGCCGATAAACGAGCGATCAAACGTTCAAGCGATCAACCGTTCAAGCGCTCAGTACGCTTGCACTTCACATATTAATTGCATTATTTTTGTTTTGCTGTTTTATTTTTATTATTTTATTTTTATTTTTTCAATGCAAAACGCGAGAGCTTTCCGTTAGGCCAACCTTGGTGGAAACAGCTGCTCAGCACTCACACACTCTCTCCCTCTCGCGGCGGCGGGCACTCTCAGTAGATTTCCCTGAACTTCAACCGAAAAGCTAACGTGTCTATTTTTAGCACAATATATCCGCGTCGTGCGGCTGCTGCTGCAGCGGGGACTGCAACGGCGACTGCGACGGTGACTCTGACGGCGACGGCGACGGCAACAGCGGTTGCTGTATATGTGAACTTCCTGTTGCAGCAGCTTATAGAGCGCAACACTGCATGAGTGTGAGCTTTTGCGCTCTCCGGCACGCTCAGAATGCAGTTCTGAGCACATATGCCTGGCGTGTAAAGCACACGGGATGCACGCGTGTGTGTGAGTGAGAGAGAGATGAACTGCGGCTGCTATTGTTGTTATTGTTGTTGTTGTCATTATTGACCTAATCACTTGTGGAGCACAAACGAACATTGAACTTTTACTTCCGCATGCAATTTAATGCACGCGTTTTGCTCTCTCGCTACAGCTAATGCAGTTTTTGTTGTTGTTGCTGCTGCTATTGCTGTTGCTGTTCTATTGATCAGTTCGCCATTTTAGCCGCCGGCGACCGCCCAGTGACATTAATTAATGCACACAGATTCATCAAATATGCGCTGCCCGTTCGGAAAATCATTTTTTATGGGCCCCAGCGGCAATTTGTCTGCGCCCAGGCCCTAGGATAAACTGCAAGTGACTCTATCTCCCTCTCTCTCGCTCTGTCTGTGTGGAAAATGGTGTAATTAAATGCGACAATTTGTTTCGCCTGTAGGGTATTTAGCTGCCCAGCATAGCCCATAAGAAACAGCTTTGAAATTTGAATTTTTTTAAATATGATTTTCTTTTTAATATTATATTTTTATATGTGTTTGTTTGTGTTGGTTGTTGTTGGTCTTGTATAAATAACATATACTTAAAAGCTACAAATTGTTTATAATTAAAATTTAAACGTTTTCCTCAAACTTTTACACAAAAAAATCAAAGAAATGTACTTGCGAAAACCGTTGCAAAAAATGTTTAAAAAATTGTTATAAATAATGAAATTTGTTGTTCTTTAACTAAAGTCTCGAACAAGTGAAATTTTCGCTCTTTTCGATAATAAATATGACACTAAATTTAATACTTTTTTGCATAGTTTTCTTCAGACACAAAATAGATAAATATATAATAAAAATATCTATATATGTATGTGTGTGTGTGGGTGTGAGAGAGTGTGTGAGTGTGCATATGATATAGGATAATGTGAATAGCAATTATCGCTAAACAGCTTTTGTTTGATATTTTTCGATTTCCATTATTTTGTGAACAATTGCTTAAATTTAAATAATAATAATAATAATAATAATAAATAATTTATGCATAATAGTAAAGAGTTTTTGTTCTTTTAGGCTCGGCTACTTTCTGCGGCGCCGACAGCTGGAAGTCTCCTCGCGGCCACGCAGGCGCAACCAACGCGCGCCCCCAATCATATCCAGAATATTGTTTTATTATTTTTGTTTGTTTTTTTTTTGTGTGGATAAGGCAACGGCGGTGTGGATATGTGGGCGTGGCTGGGCCCTAGTACTGCCCGGTGGGGTCCAGTTGCTGGCGCTGCTTGTGGCGCGTGTCACGCGACTCACGCGGCCGACGATAGGTGCCCGTGGGATCCAGATCGAACATGTTGGTGCTGCTGTTGCTGCTTCTTCTTCTACTTTGCTTGCGAAAAGTGTGACCAGACTGTCAACTGAGCCTAGTAGGTGCCAGTGGGGTCCAAAGCCAGCGACATTTTGCAATATATTTCAAATTCTTTCTCAATTACAAATTTATATTTCGTTTTTTTTTGTGTTTTTTGTTAGCTCTTGCTTAATATTGACCCGTGGGATCCAGATAGGCAGCCATATTTCAAGATTGATGTAACTTAAACGGCTGAGAAATGCTTCCTAAGATCGTTGCTCAATATTGGCCAGTGGGATCCAGATAGGCAGCCATTTGGTGAATCGTGTAATTAGGCAGAAATACTCGAATGATATCAACACGATTAACGTCTTCTGTTGCCTCTCTTTTGTTTAACTTTAAGCTGTTTGCTGTTGCTGTTGTTCTTGCTGTTGTTGTTGTAAGTTCTTTTATTATCACCAGTTGCTATTGACTGATTATACAGCGGAGCGCGTGTGTTTATATTTAGCCTTTTGCTGCTCTTTTTGTGTGTTGTCTATAGTTTTTGAGTTAATATATATATCTCTCTATATATATATATACATATATAAATATCGAGTCACTGACACTTGAAATCCATTAAATACTTTTGTTGTGTGTTCTTTTATTGTTTATATAATTTAAGCGGCTGTCTGCTTATTGTTTGCATTTGCTTATTAAACCGAGCAAAAGAATTTGTATTGTTTTAGTTTTAGTTTTATTTTTATTTGGTTATTTCTGCTGCCGCACAACGCGTAAATCAAACTACAAAAAATCTTCACACAAGTTTTTTACAATATTGAAAATCGTTGAACTTCGCTCTGATCTGCACTCGTCGAACGTTGTCGATCTTATGATTCAAGACGTTGCCCATACAGCGTTATTTATATGAATCTGAGCGCGCAGAGAGCGAGAGAGAGCGAGAGCTGGAGTGTTAGAGAGCGAGGCACGTCGGAAGCTTAAACGCGTCGAGCCGGCTGCGCTATGTGTGTGTGTGCAAAAGAGCGCAATAGATGGGCAGGTGTGCGTGTGTGCATGCATGCATGTGTGTGTGCTGCTCTTAGTTGTTGCTCTTGAAAAATTGAACAGTGCGCGAGCGAGCTATATTCATTCATAAACCTCTCTCGCTCTCGCGCGCGCTCTCTTTATGGCTGACTAAAGGCATGAGGGCAATACACACGCACGCACACACATACTTCTACATATATGCATACATATATTTCTATATATATATGTATATGTGTCTTTACAGAGAGTTGGCCGCCTCCACCTGGGTTTCATTCAGAAAACAGCTGTTTTTGTCAAACTGCGACACGATCGAGTGCCCTCGTTATGCCGCTGTCGTAGTGTGTGTGCGACGATCTTCCTGCATGTTTATCTGTGTGAGTGTGTCTGTATGTGTGCGCGTCTGCGCTAGGCAGGTAGCGCGCTTGCCTATTGGTGCATTTCATTGAGATCCTTGCGATTTGGCTCCACCTACATGTGCGTGCCGCAGCTAATTGATTTTCATCTTCTTCGTTTGTCTTTAAGCCGTGCAAATGACTTGGCCAAAAACTTGGCCCACAAGTAGCTGGGCAAATACACATGTTAACTGTTTGTCCTGGCTAATAACTTGATGTGCCATAAGCGGCATAATTAATGATCCTTGAGCTCGACAACGACGACGGCCACAGCCCACTTTACGTGACATTTGACAGTGGCCTAAGCCGGGCAAGGCTTAAGCCGGGCTCGCTCATAAAAAGGATAAACGTCTTGCGGCATGAGTCAGCGAAACGCCGTCTGCTTCCGCGAAATGCGATACACCAAAAAAGACTCCGCAGTCGGCAAAAATTTACAAAAAAAAACACAAAATGAATACAAAATTGTTGCAGAATTGCAGTTTTCCACCTTTTTTAGCCAAAAAAAGAAGAGAAGTGCCTAAAAGATAGGTAAGTCAGCTGGCGCAGCGAGTTGACAATGGGAAATATAAATCCTTTCGTTTTATTGCAGCAGCAGCAGCAGCCCCGCCTCGTCTTCAACCAAAAAAAAAAGGACTTCCTGCGCGCATGGAGCGAGCACGCGCTGCTAAGCAACCCTTTCTGAGTGGCACGAGCTGTCGCTGGCGCTGGCGTTGATGTTCATGTTAATGCTCATGTTAATCTTAATGTTAACTGATGCACTTATCGCACACTGCGCCGTTACCTGGAAATGTGCGTGTCCCCCCCAAATGCTGGACCTTCTGCTGCCGGCCGGATATGCGGCTGGTTTTTGGCGCTTCCGTTTTCACTTTTCTAATGATTTTCCTTTTCATCATATTTCTTTTTTTAGCTATCGAATTCGTTGCGCTTCATTTGGGTTTTCCGTTTTTTGCACCTTTTGTCTTTGGCCACGTGCCACGCGGCAAATGGAAATGGGAAAACGCATCCAACATTTGTTGGCACAACTGTCCCTCTCTGCCGAGCTGGCCCTGCCTCAAATTAGTTTTGTAATTCGATCGAATTGGTTTTTTGGGGAAGATTCACTTTTAACGGCTGTTGTTCGGCATATTCTTATGCAATGTTTGCGCAACTCCGAAAAGAAAAACACAAACAGAAGAGGAAGAAAAGTGATCTTGAGGCATCTTTTCTCAGGGCGATTGCCCAGATTTGGGTCAATGTTCCGCGTGTGCATTTCATTTCATTCTATTTCTGCATAAATCACAATTTTTTTCGACTTTTTTGGTTTTTTGCTTTTTGGTTTTTTTGTTGCTCTTGGACTTGGCCATGCAAATACAGCAGTTATTTTTTTAACAGTTAGCTTTTTCTTAATCAGAATATGAAAAAAAACCTGCAACGTTCACAGTTTGGCCTGTTCAGCACTTGGCTTTGGCCAAGCGGCAAAATTGGTAGCAAGTCGCAGTCTAGTCGCGAGTATTCTAATTAGCTGGCTAACATAGTTGCAGCATTTAACGGTAAACAAATGTGGCAAGTGTGCCACTTAGCCTAGGCCTTAGCAGAGAGCTTCTTGTGGCATAGAAACGTTGCGACAGCAGTCAGACTAAAATAAAACTGTCCAAATCTATCTCTCAGTATCTTAACTGGATAATATCTCTCTCTTTCCCTGCTACTCCTTCTCTTGCCATCTCCCTTTCAGTAGATAGAGCTACTTATATGAAAAAAAAGTTTACTCATCGATTCAATTGCAGATGAAGACTTATCGCATATCGGGTTTATTGAACCATTCTTTAAGATTCAGCCTTGGTCAAGATTCTTTTGGCATTTGCAGCTTTCAAGTTTTTCTGGGAAACATATGCACCCTGCTGAAATGTTTGTATTAAATCAACGTATTTCCTGGTAACGATAAAATAAAAAAATAAAACAGGAAAAAAATTACAATCAGAAAACATTTTTATTTTTAGCATAAGAACTCAGGATTTCTGCTTTCAAAGTGAGTATATATTATGTAGTATATAGTAGTATATAATATATAATTTGCAGTATATAGTATATAGTATATGGTATATATGACATCAGTCAGACATTCGCAGTAATCAAGTTTGAGCAAACATAATAATAGAAAACTATAAACCTACATTGATAGTAGTTAAGAGTCACAATAGATAAAGTCACAATGAACTCATGCTGATTTGACAGGATTGACAGACTGATTGATTGACTTGTGCATGAAGAATATATTGAATAATAAAAGTTTTCACACGGAAGTATATAATACACTTATCAGATTGCATTATTCAATTTTCATCTCAACAGTGAATTAAAATATTTCCTCTCTTCAAGCCTCTTCTACAGTTTTTACACCTTTTCAGTGAATACTCCAGTAAAATGTCAAACATTTTTTAACAACAGCAAACTATAAAAGCATTCACAAATTCAAATTATAAATAAGTTTTAGCTTAATATAAAAAAAGAATAAAAGAGAACGCAGAGTTGTGAAAAATTGGTGTTCAGTTAAAAAATTCTCTTTCATGTAAGAGTCGATTTTGAAAACATCTTTTCTCAAAGTTCATTTCAAATCTAACTCTGATTTTAGCTGTAAAATTCAAAAAAAAAAAAAAATTATTCAATCAGTGCAATTCATTAGAAATAAAAACTGAGCAAAACTGATTAATGCTCATTGTATTCCCGCTCTGCAAGTGAAAAGAGTATATTAGTGTTGTGCAAGGTCTGCCTTGATGTTTGTCTCTGTGTTTCTTAGTGCGAATGCTGGAGATTTGAAAGTTGAAATATATATATTTCCCTAGCTATTAAAGTTATTAATATTGAGTATGAGATGGGATATTTTAAATGTATAAACTCAAGCAAGGCAAGGAAGATCAGAACATTCATAATGTAGAGTGTTTTTTTAGAGCTTAACAACTTTTAATTAGCATAATTGTCATATTTGACAATATATTTAATAACTGATACTTGTTTTTTATTAAATTTAGTTTGACATTTTATTAAGAATAGATTTGTACTAGAACAACGCTTGCAACTTGTGGCATGTTTTATCAAAATTAATTGTTCTATTCATGCACCTCATCTATTCTATGGCGCATATAAGATTGAAGCACATTTTGGCTTGTTGCATTTGGAGTGAGCTTCATTCACAAGTTATTGCCTAAAGACATCCAGGGAAAATTCATTTTGTGGCCTCACTAAGTCATTGGTCCACATGTCTTTAAAGACAAAGATGCTGAGGATTATGACAATTGTTAGCAAGCACATAATTAAAATGATATTTAAACACTAATGTCATAGAATTTGCTAACCAATAAAGTGCATCTCATTGATATTTAACAGATATTTCTTTATACCACAATAATTTAAACTTCTGCAACTCCAAGAGAAACATATCAAATAATAAATTTAGCTGCTTATAGAATGCGAGCGAGTATTACGCGCATTATGCAATTGTTTGCAATGTGAGTTCGAGTATTGTAAATCTATATAAAGAATTTGTTTTATGACTTTTCTGGTTATAAAATCAAAGCTTGGAGTTGAAAGCTCTTATCTCAGTAAATTCTTCTCGATCCAAGCGCGCTTTCTCCCAAAACGTCACAATTAACCTAAAGTAGAAACTCGAATCGTAGAATTCTAAGCAGCTAATCAAATTAATGACTTTTGAGAGCTTTGTTTTGGTTTCACTTCTGAGTGGAGGTTTCTCGTTTATCGGAGCTGGTGCAGCTGCGCTTTGAATTTCGCTCCAGTTGATTATTCATTCAGTGATCGGCACTGCTTAGTGGAAAATTGAAAGTCTTCTCGACTATTCTGCGTATTTCGAAAGTTTGAATTCGAAACTCGAAACGCGAGACAAGCAATTGCGCAGCGTGAACCGGACAATGCCGGTCAACCACACGGCCGGGTGCTTAACTAATTTTCGTGGGTGATCCACGTGCTCTGTTAATGTGCCCATAAATTATCCATTGAACTTTTACTCCAGTTTTGACAGCGTCAAGAATTAAATCGCGCTGAAAACGTGATTGCGTTGCGTCTGCTGAACAAACGAACTTTTCCTCGATTTCCCAATACCTTGAGCCCAGCAACTACCTGAGCCACTCGTAATGACAGGCACATATGTTAAATGCCCATTGAATATGCTAAACCAGAGCCTCAAAAAAAGTGTGTGCTTGTGACAGCTCATAACAGTCGCCAAATGCAAATACT